CGTCAATGTTGTGCACTTGTGCTGTCTTCTAGACTCTAATAATGTTTTGGCTGCGGACATGATATGGGAAAATATGGCAATAGTACATGTTAATGCACAACGATAATCCTGGAAATGTTACATTGATCTTTTGGTCTCGGGCCTACTGTATATGTGTATTTGTTTGTTAACCCTCTCTTCTCAAAACCTTTTACTATTTTGTGAGTAGTAAAATACTGAGTTGTTGGTACTCTGTTACCTACCCTTATTTGTGCTTGCATTGTGTGATGATTCTCATGTTGCCTGACTTGAGAAAAGTCTGCGTGCCATTTCTTGTACATATTTCACTGATTTGCTTTGCAGTTTTTGTCTGTGTGTGGCAGGGCCCTTTTGTGGCACCTTGATCCATCAAATCTAAACCATGACTTCAGTGATGCTACGGGAAGTAATTACAAGGACCTTGTTTTGTCTGACAAAAGAATTACATGATCAGGTAGCATGGTGTGTGGTTGGCATTCTTAGTTTGCTCCCCACCTGCGTTCTTGGAGATGCGATCATTATTCCAGATCTGTTTGCTTGCGACGTAAGTTCACAACACATAATAGTGGTACAAGCTGCTCTATATTTTTTTGTGACTCTTGGTTTCTCGTGTTTATGTCAATCATCTGGTTTCTCCAATCATATTTTTCACTTCACTTGCAATTAAAGGAGTACAAAGTACAATCAAAGGTGTTGTGTCTCGAGCCTGAAACCAACAAGTGGGATTCATTTCAGAAAATTTGGCATGTCTAAGTGAAGTATGCAGGGCTTGGATTCAAATGCCTAAAAGCTCAATTAATGGCTGCATTCTTTGTATTATTCGAAATTACATCTTCTGTTAGTTATTTAATCTTCTGTAAGTAGGGAATGTATTAATCAGAGACTTAATTATTTTGATCTTCTGTAGCATACCCCACATCACTATTATGGATGCACACGGTTCTGCATATTGTCGCATTGCATTATGCATTCTGGGCGTTGTTGAATGACTTCACCTTGTAATTTTTTCTCAGGCATATCGTTTATGTATGCAGGGGTATGGGTTCTGTGCTAGGACTTGTGCACGCAGGGTTATCATCAGTACAACAACAACAACAACAACAAAGCCTTTAATCCCAAACAAGTTGGGGTAGGCTAGAGGTGAAACCCATAAGATCTCGCAACCAACTCATGGCTCTGGCACATGGATAGCAAGCTATCACGCACCCCTGTCCATAGCTAGCTCTTTGGTGATACTCCAATCCTTCAGGTCTCTCTTAACGGACTCCTTCCATGTCAAATTCGGTCTACCCCGCCCTCTCTTGACATTCTCCGCACGCTTTAGCCGTCCGCTATGCACTGGAGCTTCTGGAGGCATACGCTGAATATGCCCAAACCATCTCAGACGATGTTGGACAAGCTTCTCTTCAATCGGTGCCACCCCAACTCTATCTCCTATATCATCATTCCGGACTCGATCCTTCCTCGTGTGGCCACACATCCATCTCAACATACGCATCTCCGCCACACCTAACTATTGAACATGTCGCCTTTTAGTCGGCCAACACTCAGCGCCATACAACATTGCGGGTCGAACCGCCGTCCTGTAGAACTTGCCTTTTAGCTTTTGTGGCACTCTCTTGTCATAGAGAATGCCAGAAGCTTGGTGCCACTTCATCCATCCAGCTTTGATTCGATGGTTCACATCTTCATCAATACCCCCATCCTCTTGCAACATTGACCCCAAATACCGAAAGGTGTTCTTCTGGGGTACCACCTGGCCATCAAGGCTAACCTCCTCTTCCTCACACCTAGTAGTACTGAAACCGCACATCATGTACTCGGTTTTAGTTCTACTAAGCCTAAACCCTTTTGATTTCAAGGTTTGTCTCCATAACTCTAACTTCCTATTTACCCTCGTCCGACTATCGTCAACTAGCACCACATCATCCGCAAAGAGCATACACCATGGGATATCTCCTTGTATATCCCTTGTGACCTCATCCATCACCAATGCAAAAAGATAAGGGCTCAAAGCTGACCCCTGATGCAGTCCTATCTTAATCGGGAAGTCATCAGTGTCGACATCACTTGTTCGAACACTTGTCACAACATTATCATACATGTCCTTGATGAGGGTAATGTACTTTGCTGGGACTTTGTGTTTCTCCAAGGCCCACCACATGACATTCCGTGGTATCTTATCATAGGCCTTCTCCAAGTCAATGAACACCATATGCAAGTCCTTCTTTTGCTCCCTATATCTCTCCATAAGTTGTCGTACTAAGAAAATGGCTTCCATGGTCGACCTCCCAGGCATGAAACCAAACCGATTTTTGGTCACGCTTGTCATTCTTCTTAAGCGGTGCTCAATGACTCTCCCATAGCTTCATTGTATGGCTCATCAGCTTAATTCCACGGTAATTAGTACAACTCTGAACATCCCCCTCGTTCTTGAAGATTGGTACTAATATACTCCGTCTCCATTCTTCTGGCATCTTGTTTGCCCGAAAAATGAGGTTGAAAAGCTTGGTTAGCCATACTATCGCTATGTCCCCGAGACCTTTCCACACCTCAATGGGGATACAATCAGGGCCCATCGCCTTGCCTCCTTTCATCCTTTTTAAAGCCTCCTTGACCTCAGACTCCTGGATTCGCCACACAAAACGCATGCTGGTCTCATCAAAGGAGTCGTCCAGTTCAATGGTAGAACTCTCATTCTCCCCATTGAACAGCTTGCCGAAGTACTCCCGCCATCTATGCTTAATCTCCTCGTCCTTCACCAAGAGTTGGCCTGCTCCGTCCTTGATGCATTTGACTTGGCCAATATCCCTCGTCTTCCTCTCTCGGATCTTGGCCATCTTATAGATGTCCCTTTCGCCTTCCTTCATGCCTAACCGTTGGTAGAGGTCCTCATATGCCCGACCCCTTGCTTCACCAACAGCTCGCTTTGCAGCCTTCTTCGCCATCTTGTACTTCTCTATGTTGTCTGCACTCCTGTCCAGGTATAGGCGTCTGAAGCAATCTTTCTTCTCTTTAATCGCCTTCTGGACATCATCATTCCACCACCAGGTATCCTTATCTTCGCTTCTCCTTCCCCTGGACACTCCAAACTCCTCCGAGGCCACCTTACGAATGCAAGTCGCCATCTTCATCCACACATTGTCCACATCCCCTGCTCCTCCCAAGGGCCCTCCTTAATGACCCTCTCCTTGAACGCCTGAGCTACCTCCCCCTTGAGCTTCCACCACTTCGTTCTAGCGACTTTGGCACGCTTATCCCGCTGGACACGAATCCGAAAGCGGAAGTCAACAACCACCAGCTTATGCTGGGGTACAACACTCTCTCCAGGTATCACCTTACAGTCTAGGCACGCACGCCTATCTTCTCTTCTCGAGAGGATGAAATCAATCTGGCTAGAGTGTTGGCCACTACTAAAAGTCACCAGATGTGATTCTCTCTTTCTAAAGAGGGTGTTAGCTACAATCATGTTGTAGGCTAGAGCAAAGCTTAAGACATCTTCTGCTTCTTGATTCCTGATGCCATAGCCAAAGCCCCCATGCGCCCCTTCGAAACCTGTGTTAGATGTACCCACGTGGCCATTGAGGTCTCCTCCTATGAAGAGCTTCTCACCAATCGGTACACTCCTAACCATGTCGTCCATGCCTTCCCAGAACTCCCTCTTGGTGTTCTCATTGTGGCCTACTTGCGGGGCATACGCGCTGATAACATTGAGAACCAAGTCCTCAACTACCAGCTTGACCAGGATAATCCGGTCCCCACGTCTCTTGACGTCTACCACTCCATACTTGAGGCTCTTGTTGATCAAGATGCCAACGCCATTTCTCTTTGCAGCCGTCCCCGTGTACCACAGCTTGAAGCCGGTATCCTCCACCTCCTTTGCCTTCTGTCCTCTCCATTTGGTTTCTTGGACGCAAAAGATATCAACACCTCTCCTCACCGCTGCATCAACTAGCTCCCGAAGCTTCCCTGTCAGAGACCCTACGTTCCAGCTACCTAAGCGAATCCTCCTAGGCTCGGCTAGCTTCCTTACCCTTCGCACTCGTCGAGTCAAATGTGAAGACCCTTGCTTATTTTCCACTACATCCGGGCGCCGATGTAGCGCGCCACTAAGGATGCGACGACCCGATCCTCGCTCACTTGCCACCGTATAAGGATCAAGATACGGCGCGCCACCTGGGGGGTGACGGCCCGGCCCTTGCCCATTTTCCACCACACCCGGGTTCCGATGTGGCGCGTCGCTAAGAGGGTTACGCCCCAATGAAAATCTTTTGGGTTTCATCTCCATAGGTGTGGCTGAGTTTTTACGTTGGCTCGCCAAGCCTATCACAACCCTCCTCCTTTTCCCGGGCTTGGGACCGGCTATGTTGAGACAACATAGGCGGAGTTAGCAGGGTTATCATCAGTATCAATAGATATTTTTCTTGAGCCTATGGGATGGGGGAATATCAATGGAGCTGGCACATAAATTTCCCTTTACGCATGCTTATTTTCCAAGCCAACTAAGGGGCTTAATTGCCATAATAACTGGACCCATACCATGCAGAAGAAATTTCCCTTTACACATGCTTATTTTCCAAGCCAACAAAGTGACTTACTTGCCATAATAACCGCACCCATACCATGCAGAAGAATTTTGGGATGTTGTTTCTTACATATAAGGTATGGTTTGTTTCGCAACAGAATCGGTAAATCTTCATGGAAAACATACAATCACGACCATCAAAGGGGTCGGTCATCTTCAAATATAGTTCTGCTTGGTATGCTTATTAAAATGCCAAGATTTTTAGCATCATGTCCAACACATAGCTAATTGCTCCTGCTTTGTGGTGCTGCAGGTCAATGGTTACAAATTTCCCTTTCTGGTTAAGTTTCGCTACTGCTTTACTTTCTCGTCAGGAAAGTTCACGAGGTTATTTATCAGAAATATTATCTGAGAAAACTGCTGAATCAGTAAGTGATAACAGTCTTGCTCAGAGGGCATGGATTACCTTTTGTGGGTCTTATGTCCTTCTAGTATAGATGAATGCCACATGCTAGCTAACAATATGGTGGAGGTATCACATTCTTGGGCCAGGAACAACAACGGACACCCAAGTTATGCATACCATACTAGTACTGTAAATCACAGGAGGAAATCGCGAATGCCCACATTGAGGATACGGAGAAACTTCATGTTTCAACAAACAGTGCCTATTCCCTTATTACAGCATTACGCAAACACTGGTCTGGTTCTAGCTTCAATGATGATTTTCCATCCAGTTGTTACATTAGGCGACTTAGTTCTCCTATTTCCTTACTTGAGAAATACCTGCGTGCCATTCCTTTTACATATTTTACTGATTTGCTTTGCATTTTCTGTTTGCATGTGGTAGGGCCCTTCGTGGCATCTTGATCCGTCAATTCTAAAACATGATCTTTAAGTGATACTAATGGAAGCAATTACAAGACCCTTGCTTTGTATGGAAGGAATTACATGCTCAGGTAGCATGGCGTGCATTTTAATACGCTTTGTTTGCTCTCCACACGCATCTTCGATATACGATCATTATTCCATATCCGGTTTCTTGCAACGTAAGTTCACACCTCATACTACTTGGTACTAGCTGCTTTATATTTTTTGTGTGAAACTGAGTTTGTCGTGTTTATGTCAGTTTGTTTCTCCAACCATTTATACACTTCAAAATGAAAGTGCATAAATTACAGTTCAAAGGCGTCGTGAGCCGGAAACCAACAAAGTTAGAGTTTATTCTATAAAACTGGGTTGTGAGCATGGACAGGTGAACTCTGCAAAGCTTGGATACTTATTTTCTTTTTCGAGGTAGGATACCTAATTATTTGTGGTGATGTGAAAACTGAAAAGAAAGAGGAGAGTTAAACAGTTTCTTTCTTGATGAAGAAGTGATAGTTTGGTAATACCAGAAACTGGAAATGAGTAGAATCACCATTAGAGGCTCAGTTGTTACTTATGATGGGATTAGCTCCAATATGCAACCATTAATAGTCTTAGCAATAAAGTATCTAAACAAAGTACTCCAGCCGGCCAGCCCTAATAAACCACATGCTACTGTCTTTGCTCTCTTACTCAAAAAGTGTGCCCGTGCAGATAGGACTGCTGAGGCATCCTCAGTCTGTCATGTTCTCACCAGCTAATCAAAGTCTCACAAGGACGGCTCACTGGCAAATGAGCTCGCATGCTTTGGTCAGATCCCAACAACCCCTCCTGTGCGTAATTTGTTTCATATGCATCGATCCTTGTTCTTGCTTTATGATCTTCAAGTTGCTAGGGCTTGATGAGAAATTGATTATTTACTGCATGCATCCGAGTCTAAAAATTTATTGCTGAATGAGGCCCATACTCTTATGTTTTTAGGTGCGAACATGACATGGGTATGAGGCCTCTTTGGTTCAAAGGATTTCTACAGGAAATTTAGAGGATTCTAAACCTTAGAAAATTTTCCTGTGTCTTGTTTGATTCACAGGATTGTAATCTATTGGAATTTTCTCTTAGGATTCATTTGTATTAGATTTCATAGGAAGAAAATTATCCAGTCAAACCTCATGTAAAGAATCCTTTGTTTTTCCTGTGCACAATCAAACATATATGAAATCCTGTAGTATTGATGATGCCATGCCATTCTATTCCAGCATTTTAGAAATCCTGCTAATCAAAGAGGATGTTTTTTTTGAGAGGAGGGAATCTCAGAAGCGTACATCAACCTTTGGTCTACTGTATATATTTGTTTTTCTTAACCCTTTATATTCTCAAACATATATACATTTTTTAGTTGTGCAATATTGAGTTACTGGCGCTCAGTTATCCCTTTTTCTTAACCCTGCATAGTGCTCCTCGCTGAGCCTAATTGTGCAAGTGTCTTCATCCCATAGAGCTCCACTTAAATTCTTCAAGTTGGCTACCCTTCCCCATATCTTCCTCCACTTCTTGAGATGGTTTTTGACTTGATCTCCGGTGACAGAAAGCTTGAATTGCTCGTTCAAAACAGCAGCACATTGTCTATGATGCACATCCCTGAATCCACTTGAAGTTCTCTTCCCATCAGCAACAAGACCAGCCAAAAAACCAAGCATGGTTTTCGTCATCGAATTGGTCCATACAATGATCCCAGCTCTCCCGGAGCTCCCACTTGCAGCGGTGACTTCAACACTCTCCATTTCTGTCCAGCCAACAAGAGATTGAGAAAACATGGATTATAGCATTTCAAATTCATGGTGCAAATAGAGTAAATGATATAATCTGTCCAGCCATGAAATAAATTCAAATGTAGTTGTCGAAACATCACAAATACATGGTGCAAATAGAGTAAATGATATAATCTGTCCCGCCATGAAATAAATTCAAATGTAGTTGTCCAAACATCACAAATACATGGTTCAAATAGAGTAAATGATACAATCTGTCCAGCCATCAAATAAATTCAAATGTAGTTGTCCAAACATCACGAAATACATGGTTCAAATATAGTAAATGATACAAATACATGGAGTGTGCCACACTCATAGATTAGCATACATGAGTTGTCTATCTTCCCACATTTGGGCTGCCATTTGTAGCCTACGGTCTACCACGGCCCTAGTGTCACTTGCTTGTTGCCTTGATGTTCTAATTGGTTGGGTGGTCCATGTCACTTCAGGTATAATAAATTCATCAATCCCTTGTGATAGTGCATAATTGTGAAGAACACAACAAGCTATAACAATGTCAACTTGTGTTGGGAAAGTAAAGAATGGTTTGGCATCATCTAAAATTTTGAAACGCCTCTTGAGAGATCCAAAAGCCCTCTCTACCGTCACCCGTAGTGAAGAGTGCCTAAGGTTGAATAGCTCCTTATCATTTTGGACTGGATTGTTGCCCCACTCATTCAAATGGTACCTCACACCACGAAAAGGTGGTAAGAACCCGGGCTTGGCTCCATAACCGCCATCAACTAGGTAGAACTTCCCTAAAAAGGTGAAACAAATAATTGTGACAATGGTTTCTTGAGGCAAAGAACATAATGACAATTTCTATCTAAGCCAACTTCTTACCTGGTGGTACTTGTAAGCCTCTCTCACGCGTTAACGCATCAGCTAAAACGGTTGCATCGTGTGCTGACCCTTCCCAACCAGCCAATACATACGTGAAGCGGAGATCAAAATCTACCGCTGCCATCACATTTTGGGTTGTAAAGGCCTTCCTACCACGAAAAGAATGCTCCACATCTTTGGTAACACCTGCTCGCACATGTGTACCATCGATAGCTCCAATACAATCCTATATAGTGACAAGTAGTAAATACCATATCATATAGCCTACATACCTAACGAATAGTTTTAGAAATTACCTTAAAATATGGGTCAAACCGATGATTTCCTGCAATTTTTGTGGGGGTCTCCAATGATGGTGGCCGTATATAATCATTACGAAGCTCGCCTATGGCATGAAGAACCTTTCTAAAATAGATGCTGGTTGTGCCGTATGATCTACAAAAATTGGCTGACACAACCCTATTCCGAAGGTTATGCCCAATTGTATGCAAAAACATCGCCAATTGTTGCTCCACACTAAGATGTGGACGGTCTTCTAGCAACTTGCGATCCCTTATTATGCTACACAAATTAAAAAATGCAGCTCTTTCAAACCTTAACATGTTTTTGCACAACACATCACTTTGCCATATTTTTTGGTTTAGATAATCAAATCTGATTCGATCTCTTTCATGCATTGGCCCATAGGTAATGCGTGGTCTTCTTTTCCTTATTATAGCCCGAATAATGACTGCCATTGTAGCTAGTGCAACAAAAACAGCAGCTCCCCTAACCATCTTTTTTCTTTTGTTCATCTTCTTGGCCATCTACAAGTGATGCATAGTATCAAAAATATAGCTACGAATGACGCATACATCAACAATATATATTGCAAAAATATACTGGACAGCATGTATTTTCGTACAAATTAGGAAAACAGAGTACTAATTTTACCAACATAAAGTAACGAAAGTGAAACAAATACAACCATGAATCATCACAAGAACCACTCCATATCTCTGTATCACTCTCGTTTGGGCATATCCAAGACCAGCAGTAGAATATACAAGGGGAAGGGATTGATGTTTGTACCTAGAGATTGGGATGGTGTGCTGGGCCTGCTGCCGCTGTCAGCCTGCTAGAAGCCGCCGCCCCGCTGCTATTCCTCTGCAAGCCGCCGCAACTGCAGATCCAGATCGAGCTCCCTCTGTTCTGCAGCAAATCATGAGAGGAATGAGAGGAGTTAGTGGGCACCGAGGAAAGGAGGGAGTCGGCCGGCGGGGAAGGGAAGATTTGGCCGGCGGGGAAGGAAGGAATCGGCCGGCGCGCCTAGATCCATGGACGGGGAGAGAGGAGGGAGAGGCGGCGCACCTGGAGGGAGAGCGAGGCGATAGGGCTGCGAGGGCTGCGAGAGAGCGAGGGGTGAGCGGTTCCGCGTGGTCCGGCCATTTTCGAGGTCTCACCACGTTCCGCATCTGGGCCGAATATTCGGTCCGCGGGAACGAGTGGGTTCCGATCCATAAGTCCAACTGAACGCGAAAACGAGGCCTAGGAATGGGTCGGACCCATGCCATTCCAGTCCGTGACATCAACCAAACACACCCTAGATCAGGTAACTGAGTTCTCCAGTTCACTTACTTGAGAAAAATCTGCCTGCCAGTCCTTGTACATATTTGACTGATTTACTTTGCAATTTTCTGTTTGCATGTGGTAGGGCCCTTCGTGGCATCTTCATCCATCGATTCTAAAACATGATCTTTGAGTGATGCTACGGTCTACGGGAATCAATTGCAAGACCCTTGTTTTGTCTGAAAGGAGTTACATCGTCGGGTAGCATGGCATCTGTTTTAATACGCTTGGTTTGCTCCCCACTCGCATCTTCGATATGGAATCCGGTTTCTTGCAACGTAAGTTCACTCCTCATACTACTTGGTACTGGCTGCTTTATAATTTTTGTGTGAAACTGAGTTTTCCGTTTTTATGTCAGTTTGCTTCTTCAACCATTTTTACAGTTCAAAATGAAAGTGCACAAATTACAGTTTGAAGGCGCAGTGCCTCGAGCCAGAACCAACAAAGTTGAAGTTCATCTATAAAACTGGGTTGTGAGCGTTGCCAAGTGAACTCTGCAAAGCTTTGATTTTTTCTTTTCGAGGTAGGATACTGATGTGAAAACTGAAAAGGAAGAGGAGAGTAAAACAGTTTCTTTCTTGATGAAGAAATGACTAGTTTGGTAATATCAAAAATTGGAAACAAGTAGAATCACCATTAGAGGCTCAAGTTGTTACTTATGATGGGATTAGCTCCAATATGCAACCATTAATAGTCTTAGCAATAAAGTAAGTAAACAAAGTACTCCAGCCGGCCAGCTCTAATAAACAACATGCAACTGTCTTTGCTCTCTTATTGAAAAAGTGTGCCCGTGCAGATAGGACTGCTGAGCTGAGGCATCCTCAGTCTGTCATGTTCTCACTAGCTAGCAAATGAGCTCGCATGCTTGGGTCAGGCCCCAACAACCCCTCACGTGCCTAATTTATTTCACATGGTCGTCAAGCTGCAAGGGCTTGATGAGAAATTTACTGTTCCCAACAACCCCTCCTGTGCGTAATTTATTTCATATGGTCTTCAAGCTGCAAGGACTGATAAATTTATTGTTCCCAACAACCCCTCTTCTGTACTACTATTGGTTACCTGTCTGCTCCTGTGAATACATCTGCGCACAGCTACTCCATTCGATCCACACTGAGCATTTTTATCTCAGATCCACACAACAGCCATAGGAGTGAACAGGAGAGGAGAGTTGGAGCAATGGAGGCGACGGTGCTGAGCGTGGGCAAGTCTGTGGTGAACGGAGCTGTTAGCTATGCCCAATCTGCCGTTGCAGAGGAGGTGGCGCTGCAGCTGGGAGTGCAGCGCGACCAGGCCTTCATCAGGGACGAGCTTGAGATGATGCAGTCGTTCCTGATGGTTGCTCACGACGACCGAGACGACAACAAGGTGGTCAAGACCTGGGTGAAGCAGGTCCGCGACCTGGGCTACGATGTGGAGGACTGCCTCCAGGACTTCGCCGTTCGCCTCGAGAAGCCGTCCTATTGGTGGCACATCCTGAGGACGCTGCTTGACCGGCGTCATGTGGCCGTGGAGATGAAGGATCTCCGAGCCAAGGTCGAGGATGTCAGCAAGAGGAACCTGCGCTATCACCTCATCAGGGGCCCTGACGCTGACTCAAAGTCCATGGCTGCTGCCGCCAAGCAGTACTCTGCAGTCAGCAAAGCCAGTGCTACAATGTTTGGTGTCAACGAAGCGAGGCGTGCCATGAAGCTGAGGGTAGATCTGGCCCAACTCATCGACCAGGAGCAGGGGGAGGATCTTAGAGTGATTTCAGTGTGGGGAACATGTGGCGTTCTCGGGCAGGCATCCATGATAAGGAAGGTGTATGACGATTCGGGCACGTTTGAATGCCGTGCCTGGATCAAGCTTATGCATCCTTTCGACCCGATCGTGTTCATGCAAAGCATTATGCGGCAGTTCTATGGATATTCTTTTCCAGAATTAGCAGCTGAGGGACGAAGTTGTCGAGAATTAGGGACTAAAGTTCTCAAGAAGATGCTGATGATGAAGGAAGAAGAATTGATTGATGAGTTCAATGAGCATGTGAATAACAAGAGTTATCTGATTGTTCTTAACGATCTGTGTAGCATAGAAGATTGGGACTGGATTAAAACTTACCTTCCAGGCAACCGTAATGGGAACCGGATCATTGTGGCCACACAGCAAGTTGAAGTTGCAAGCTTATGCATCGGCCAGGAATGCCGAGTCTCAGAGCTTAAGCAATTATCCTCTGATCAGACTCTCTATGTTTTCTACCACAAGGTAATATATTTTCTATGCTCAAAAACCATCAAACTCATCCATGTTACATCCTTAATTTTGGTGTAAAGAAATTATTTTAAATTATTGACCAAATGAGCGCTCCTCAAATCTGTAAGTATATAAATTACACACTCACATCATTGACGATTAGGAGATTGATAGTGCTGCCAATGAAATGTTACAATACCTAATGATTGTTTGCTTGCGTTTACTGTTTAGAGACCTCAAGGTGGAGCAAATTCAATGGAGCCAGAGTCAAGCTCAAATGCAGCAGCCATTGCCACTACTAATAGAGCAATCTCTTCAGTGCCCATCTGTGAGATACCGGCTGGTGATCAAGCTAAAGATACCGCAAGTGGACAGAATGCAGTCCGAAGGAGCCTCAGTCGCATCCTGTCGATGACGGCTGCTCTAGAGGGATCTGAAGTTGTTGGGAGGGAGAAAGAAAAATCTCGCATCCTCCCACTAATTGTGGATTCAGTTAACAAAGAACTTCAGGTTATCTCTGTTTGGGGAATGGGTGGTCTCGGGAAGACTGCTCTTGTCAAAGATATCTATGAAGGTCAAGAACTCAGTGGCACATTTAAGAAACGTGCTTGCGTCACAATCATGAGGCCTTTCAATATCGAGGAGCTCCTTAGGAGTTTAATTATGCAACTAATGGTGTCAGAAACTTCTGACGAGAATGACACAGCGAAGAAAACAATGTCGCTGTCAGTTCAAGAGCTGAAGGATCAGCTGGGCCGTCTTCCTGAAGAAAAGAGGTGGTTGATTGTTCTCGACGATTTGTCATCTACCACTGAATGGGACACGATATTGGAAAATTTACCTCAAACAAAGAATGCAAGTCGAATCATAGTCACCACAAGAGAAGAAACTATTGCCCGTCATTGTTCACAGCAGAAACAAGAAAATGTATACAACCTCAAAGGTCTTACTAAGGAGCATGCACTTCTTGTCTTCACAAAAAAGGTACTTAGAGAAGTCATGATAATGCTCCATTTGCTTTATTTGATATTTATACTAAGGGAGAAGTATATTTTTCGTCCCTCAACTCTTTCGAGAGTATAGAAATGGTCCCTCAACTGTAAAACCAGCAAAATTTGGTCCCTCAACTATTCAAACCGGATAATTTTAGTCCCTCATACCGCTTTGACTGTTTTTTTTTTCAGACGGGGAGTGGTTTTGACTAAAACTAGATGCATTGTACAGGCTGGGCGGTCACATCAGCGTGTACAAATCTGCAGGGTCCCACCTGTCAGCCTTAGGAAGAAAGAATAATAGCTTAAAATAAAATGCATTTGCACAGGTTTTGAATTTAATACTGGAAACAAGCTAGATCAGTAGGTAACCACCACACCACGGATACTATGTATTACACAGACAAGTATAAAATCTTTTGTAGTTTTGCAGATATTAAGCATGTTCGCTGTACTCATCTGCACCGGCATTCCATGTTCGAGTATAAGAAAAATAAATAAGAAAGTATCTCTCAGTATAAGGATATATGAGATAATGAAGCTGAATTTTATTTCTATCCATTATCATGTCAGGTGCGCTTTGATAAATATGAAATACAGTGTATTTGTCTGCATTACAAAAATGCTTACTCGATGGGTGTCTAGCCCGTGCTTGCACTTAGCACGAGGTGCCCCGTTCGAGTCAGTCGACGGATGATATATTTTTTGCACGTCTTTTTTTTAGACCACACTCTGTTCAAGTTTCGACCACTAACAGGCTGGTCCCACTGTTCCAAACAAAAACCAGTCCACGTCAGCAAAAAAATCAGCCAAAGTGGTATGAGGGACTAAACTTATCCGGTTTTAAAAATTGAGGGACTACAGTTTGCTGGTTTTGGAGTTGAGGGACCATTTTTATACTTTCGAAAAAACTGAGGGACGAAAAATATACTTATCCCTTATACTAACCATGGTAATATTTATACTAACCCACAAAACTCTCTATTTATTTGATGCAAAATTTGCTAAAACATTCATTCTCACTTTTGTCGTAGCTTGTCCCTTCTAATAGTGTATATGTATTGTTCCGCACAACGGAAATGACTTATTAACTTGACATGATGTATTGTTCCTGGCTTAGTGCTCTAGCCCACGACACCCTTTTGTTTCCTACGGGAGTTAGTACATTTGACATGATTTTTTGCTTCCTACCTTATTGTTGCAGTACAGCATGCTTCTGCCTCCTAAAGATATTCTCCATCCCACACATATCACATTCTCATGCATGCCTTGTACACATTATCCTCATCCATTATTCTTGCCTACTATTTCCATCAACTTTATGAACCCGGCAAGTGGCTATAGATTCATTCATGTCTCCACTCATTTATGTTCTACTCATGTCAAGTAACTGCCAAACCAATACATAGTGATATATCTAACTACGTATTTCATGTCATTGAATAGAGATCAAATTGCTATCATTGTTAAGTTGTATCTGAATTTTAACTATCACACGATGCTAATTTTCATATTAACTTGTTTGTGCACCACATTTCAGTTCTTGTTTGAAATTCACTTCATACACAAATCACATGCTATTTCTACATAAATTTTAGTTCAATAATCTAGCTATTTTTGGACATTATGCAGAGTTCTTATTGAAACGAAATTGTTATTTTTTTATTCTTATTTTCAGTTTCTAATTCATATATAATAGAGTTGCATTCCTATTATTTGTCCACAGGATAATCCTTTACTCTGTCTTATCCACCTAAGTGGGTTTCTGCATAATCAGATTTATGTGCACCTCTATATCTAGGCCACCATGATAAAAAAAAAGTATCCTAGCCAAAGTGGATGAACGTAGTTGCTTCTTTTCGTTCTGGTTGAATAATATAATAGATAGATTTGTATTTTAGCCATAACCACTTGTGTGTACAAATTTCAGGTATTCAAGGAAAATGAATGTTGGCATCGGCTGTATCCTGAGTTGGTTGAACAAGTCAGACAAATCTTGAAGAAGTGCAATGGTCTTCCTCTTGCAATAGTCGCCATAGGTGGCTTCTTGGCAAACCAACCAAAAACTGCCAAGGAGTGGAGAAAACTGAATGAGAATCTTAGTAGTGAGTTGGAGATGAATCCAGAGCTTGACACCATAAGAACAGTCCTTCTCAGAAGCTATGATGGTTTACCCTATCATCTCAAGGCTTGTTTCTTGTATCTTCCAATCTTTCCTGAAGACTACAAGATTAGGCTAACACGTTTGGTGCGGAGGTGGATCGCAGAGGGCTACTCAGGAGCGGTGCGCGGCAGGTCTTCCTATGAAATAGCAGAGAGCTACTTCATGGACCTCATAAGCAGGAGCATGATCCTGCCATCCCGGCAATCACGTCATAGTAGAAAAGAAATTGATTCTTGCCAACTCCATGATATTATTCGTGAAATTGGCATCTCAAAGTCAATGGAGGAAAATCTTGTTTTCAGATTGGAGGAAGGTTGCAACTTAAGTAGCCAAGGCACAATACGTCACCTCTCTGTAAGCAACGACTGGAAGGGAGACCAGAGTGAATTTGAGAGTACAGTTGATCTGTCTCGTGTCAGATCCATAACAATTTTTGGGGAGTGGAAGCCATTCTTCATTTCTGACAAGATGAAGTTGCTGCGGGTGCTGGACTTGGAAGACACTTCAGGTCTGGTTGATCATCATCTCAAGCATATTGGGAAGCTTTTCCACTTGAGATACCTTTCCCTGAGAGGATGTCATGGAATTTATCACCTGCCAGGTTCCTTGGGTAACCTGAGGCAGCTCCAGACACTAGATGTCACAGGTACAAACATAATCAAGCTGCCAAAGACCATCATCAAGCTCAGGAAGCTACAGCACGTTCGTGCGAGGGGTGTCGGGAGCAACGATGAATATGTCTGTGAAGAGTATTCAGATAAACTCCCGAAGCTGATGAGGAGCAAGCAATGCATCCTGACCTGCGCCTCGGCGGTGTTCTGCGTGGCATGCTGCGCGCCACAGGTTCTGAAGGAGACCATGGGCATGGACGGGGATACCAACAGGCGTGACGTCTGCACCACGTGCTGCTGCTCGTATCTGCCAATGCTGGCGACACGCCGGAGCCCACGTGGTGTTGTGGTGCCCAGAGGGATCCACAGGCTCAGAGCCCTGCACACGTTGGGTGTGGTGAACATCTCAAGGAGGAAGGCCACCCTGCGAGAGGTAGCTAGTCTCACCGGGCTGCGCAAGTTGGGAGTGACTGGCGTGGACGAGAGCAACGGCGGAGAGCTATGTTCAGCACTGGCTAACCTCAGCAGCCTAGAGACGCTGCTGGTGCAGTCGGAGGGTAAGCCGGGTTTATCTGGCTGCTTGGATGGCCTCTCCTCACCTCCGGAAAACCTAGGGAGTCTGAAGCTGTATGGCAACCTGGTCGAATTGCCGGCATGGATCAACGGTGGGCTGAAAAATCTGGCCAAGCTCAAGCTGCGGAGTTCCAGGATAGAGGACCATGATGCGGCAATAAAAGTCCTTGGGCGCCTACCGAACCTTGCCATCCTGCGTCTGCGGAAAGAGTCACTTGGGGGCGAAGAGGTCCATCTCCGTTTTCGTCAGGGTGCATCATTCCCGAGCCTGATGGTGCTAGAGCTGAGTCTCCCAGGTAAGCTCAAATCGGTGGAGTTTGAAAAGGGAGCCACCCCTAAGCTTGAGCTGCTGCAGTATTACGATCAGCCTGAAGAAGGCGCCGTTTCAGAAAAAACCGATGACAATCAGTTTGAAGAAGACCCCAGAGTTGGGTTGTTTTCTGGGCTAGCATTTCTGGGAAGCCTCAAGGAAGTTCTGCTCGAGGGTCACAACTACAAAGCCGACTTAGTGCAAAACTTGCGCTTGCAGCTTCATTCAAATCCGAAGCGACCTGTTCTCAAGATGGACTGACCTAAGCTCCCGAAGGAGTATGATGTTCCTGCTGCTGCTTACTTGTTTTGAACTGCCAACATGCTGCCACTCAACAGTTTTGAATTGTCTGATATGTTTATTTAGGAAAAGGTAAACAGCATTATCGTCAGATATATGTCAACCAAGCTTCAGCTCAGTTTGTCTCTGCTCTTTGCTACGAGATGAACCAATTCCTGGACGTGAAAATATCGCCCCTTCATGAAGAGAAGATGCCTCCCCACCCCAATTGCGGATGCCCTTATGTAACAGATGCATGTTCTATTATTTATTTTTAAGTATCACTTGTAACAGCTTCCTTAATGTTACCTAAGTGTGTTTTGAAATCTGCATTCCAACATGAAATATTTTTTCCCTTGAGCTGCTATCTTTTCTGACATGATAAGCAAAAAAATTGCACCTATAATATACACGGACAATTTGAATTGGTGAGATTAAATAAATAGGAGATTTGAGGAATCATTATAGGCACAATAGATGTCTTTTCCCTTGAGCTGCTATCTATTTATTTATACAGAGACAATTTGTGCCTATAATATACAGAGACAATTTTCTAATTAATGATTTCTTAAATATTTCTTCCCTTGAGTTGCTATCTCCTACTTATTTATGTATAAAAATGTGAAGTTCAAATTCATTGGTGAGTACTTTAGATCAAAGTAAAACGGTAACACAAATTAGCATGGAAAATAGGTAAATGCACACATCTTACCATATAATGTTCCTATATTATATTTGAAGCACATAATGTTGAATACTACTACCTCTTTTCCAGTTTACAGAACTCAATTCAAAAATCTCACCAACCAAGGTAAATGATGAGTGGTGGAATAATTTTCGTGGTTTGTAAAAGCACTCAATTAATGCGCTCGTTTTCCTCAAAGAATTGTGTTTATCAATGCATTAATTGCAATGCATGCATGCATGAAGTATATGTATTGGTCAAGTTTCTCATAATCCTTGCATGTGATGGGGAACAATCAAATTGAGACTTATAAAACGGGAAACCGAAATTTTTGATATAAGCCCTATAAACCAGGAAGGAGGGAGTATTTGTTAACTAATAGCCACTAGAGGATTTGTGTATCAGTATAAATAAATAGGAGATTTGAGAAATCATTGATTAGAAAAGACATATGAATGCACTTAATCTTTTAGTGATTAAGCATGACCATAGCTAGTAAGAATATATGCCTACATTAACTGTTGATATATAAACGCTCTTAATAATCGAAAGTGCTCTTGTGAACTCGAGCTCACATGCACCCTTTGCTACAGTAAAATCAAAAAAATATTTAAAAAGTTCAAAAAAAATCTGAAATTCTTTTACAACAACCATTGATGTCTTTTTCACACGCGTGCATAATTTCATGACAAAATGACATTCATGCAGGTCTCGGTGAAAAAAACAAAATCGATGCTCCAAAATGCTTCCAAAAGCAGTTTTTTTGAGCATGATTTTGTCTTTTTTGCTGAGGCCTCCACAAATGTCATTTTATCACAAAAATTGGCACGCATGTGTAACACACATCAATGTTTGTTGTCAAAAAAATTCAGATTTTTTAATATTTATACTTGAAATTGTGATTGAATTGTTACTCTAGCATAAGAGATCATATGACAAGAATTATATAAGTTGATGTTTTAAGATTGATCGTGATGCCCTCATGTACGTATTTTATTTTTATCGACACCTCTATCTCTAAACATGTGGACATATTTTTCGATTTCGGCTCAAGCGAGGTCTAAGCTTGGGGGAGTTGATACGTCCATTTTGCATCATACTTTTATATCGATATTTATTACATTATGAGCTGTTATTACACATTATGTCATAATGCTTATGCCTATTCTCTCTTATTTTACAAGGTTTACATGAAGAGGGGGAATGCCGGCAGCTGGAATTCTGGGCTGGAAAAGGAGCAAATATTAGAGACCTATTATGCACATCTCCAAAAGTCTTGAAACTTTATGGGAGCACTTTTCAGAATATATAAAAAATATTGGGCGCAAGAAGTACCAGAGGGGGGCCACCCACCAGCCACGAGGGTGGGGGGCGCGCCCTACCCCCTGGGCGCGCCCCCTGCCTCGTAGGCCCCCTGGTGGCCCTCCGATGCCCATCTTTGGCTATATGGAGTCTTTCGTCCGAGAAAAAAAATCATAAGCAAGCTTTCGGGAAGAAACTCCGCCGCCACGAGGCGGAACCTTGGCGGAACCAATATAGGGCTCCGGCGGAGCTGTTCTGCCGGTGAAACTTCCCTTCGGGAGGGGGAAATCATCGCCATCGTCATCGCCAACGATCCTCTCGTCGGGAGGGGGTCAATCTCCATCAACATCTTCACCAGCACCATCTCATCTCAAACCCTAGTTCATCTCTTGTATCCAATCTTTGTATCCAAACCTCAGATTGGTACCTGTAGGTTGCTAGTAGTGTTGATTACTCCTTATAGTTGATGCTTGGTTTACTTGGTGGAAGATCATATATTCAGATCCATTATGCATATTAATACCCCTCTGATTATGAACATGAATATGCTTAGTGAGTAGTTACGTTTGTTCCTGAGGACATGAGAGAAATCTTGCTATTAGTAGTCATGTGAATTTGGTATTCGTTCGATATTTTGATGAGATGTATGTTGTCATCCCTCTAGTGGTGTCATGTGAACGTCGACTACATGACACTTCACCATTGTTTGGGTCTAGAGGGAGGCATTAGGAAGTAATAAGTAGATGATGGGTTGCTAGAGTGACAGAAGCTTAAACCCTAGTTTATGCGTTGCTTCGTAAGGGGCTGATCTGGATCCATATGTTTCATGCTATGGTTAGGTTTACCTTAATACTTCTGTTGTAGTTGCGGATGCTTGCAATGGGGGTTAATCATAAGTGAGATGCTTGTCCAAGTAAGGACAGTACCCAAGCACCGGTCCACCCACATATCAAATTATCAAAGTACTGAACACGAATCATATGAACGTGATGAAAACTAGCTTGACGATAATTCCCATGTGTCCTCAGGAGCGCTTTCCTTCATATAAGAGTTTGTTCAGCCTTGTCCTTTGCTACAAAAAGGATTGGGCCATCTTGCTGCACCTTATTTACTTTTATTACTTGCTACTCATTACAAATTACCTTATCACAAAACTATCTGTTACCGATAATTTCAGTGCTTGCAGAGAATACCTTACTGAAAACTGCTTATCATTTCCTTCTACTCCTCGTTGGGTTCGACACTCTTACTTATCGAAAAGCTACGACGGATCCCCTACACTTGTGGGTCATCAAGGTATGTCTAGATGTAAATTTTACCTTGAGTTACTTTAATACTGCTCATATATCTAGACATGATAGTTGAAGAGCAAATGAGTTGGCACAGCAAGCATCTGGCTACTATGTTGATCATGGTGTATTGCATATATCTATCAATAGCCGATGCTTATTCTTGCCAATGTAGGTAAGGCCGAACCAAAACCCACTATTTCGGCCACTAATGAAACTTTTATGCAGACGAAGTAAGGATTGGAGGAAGTTCATTCTTGATTATTTGCAAAATCCTAGCGAAAGGGTGAACAATATGGTTCGCATGATGGTTTTGATCTATGGAACCTTATCACCGGATTGTTATAGAAGTTGAGAAGTTTTCACCCAAGCTTGCATCAGAATATTCACACAAGCAATGGTCGATATAAACTTATCGTCCTAAGAACATGCAAAATGGCCGATGGAGTGTTGACATCGTCCTTAGATCAAGCTATGTGCAAGTTATTTTTCGGCACACAAGCTTTGTCGAAAAACAGGGGCATGAGTTGACACCAGATTTTGGCACGGTCAAGAACTTATTTAAGATGGTCTCAAATGGAGAAGTGATCTACATCAAAGAGTTCCGTATTGTTGATATGAACATCATTGAAGTTTGGGCCATCGCCGTCTGATTTCATCTCGAAGGCCGAAACTATGCTCAAAGTACTAAGATCTTATATTCAGAGTATAGTTTGGCCGATTAAGCCCCCAAGACCACCTTAAATGGAAAAAGTTTCAACATGAAAGTTGTGCGTATCGTCAAAACCGTTGATTTTGATATAAAAATTGTCTCAATCCGAGTTCGTATGCAAAAGTCAGAGTCATCGAAATACAACCCTCTCATGAGGCAAAAAAATGTTGCCCCCCACCAGACACCCTGTCTGATGGGTAGCGCGAATAATAGCCTGTTTGTGCGAGCGATTTGACCCTTAAAATTACCTCTGATCAAAAAACGTTCAACATGAAAGTTGTTCGTATCGTCGAAACGGTCAAGATTGCTTTTAGGCTCGTTTCGACCTGAGATCGTTTACTGCCACAAAAAAGACCTGCAAGGTGCAGCCAGTTTAAACCGAACAGTTTTGGAAAGTTCGGACAAAACCAATCCGAATTTGACAAGGGTTTTGAACGTGAATCCAAGACTTTTCTTTGCACGGGAAGTCCAGCCGCCTCTTATATACCTATAAGGGGTGACGGCCGATTGAACAACACAGAATCGAACAAACACATCTACTACTTTTTCGTGTTCATCCACTAGTGCAGAATCGGGCTTTAGCGCTGGTTCGTAAGGGCCTTTAGTGCCAGTTCTATAACCGGCACTAAAGGGTGGGGACTAAAGGCCCCCCCTTTAGTATAGGTTCGGCACGAACCGGCGCTAAAGTGCCACCACGTGGCACGAGACAGGCTCGGGTGCTGGTAGACCATTAGTACCGGTTGGTAACACTAACCGGTATTAAATGTTTGGGGGGGTTGTTTTTTTTTTACTTTTTCCTTTAATTTTGTGTTTTCATTTTAATTTTAGTGATTGTTTTATATTATAATGAGTTGTTAAATCATTAGGTGAAAGTACCACAGATTAGTTTTGAGTGGATGCATGTGGATCCTAGCTAAGTGATCAAGTATATGCCATATCCATATTACTTGATCACTTTTAAGTGATCAAGTAATATGGATATGGCATATACTTG